AGTCTAGATATTATTAATATTATATAAGCATTAAAAAACACTCTAATATAACTCATAATAATATCCCAAATACTCATTATAATTTCCTAATAACGTTATTATATTAAAACATAAGCTATACAAAAGATAGGGTAGGCATAGCTCACTTACAGCGGGTTTTTCGCAAAATCGGACTTCGCTGGAGCAGAGTTCCCGAGCCAAAAGGCTCTTTTCTCGGGACTCCGGGAGCCTCAGGGCTTCCTTCGGGTGCTAGGGCTTTACCTAGGCTTTTAGGGGGGTTTGGGGCTTTAGAGAGAGAAAGAAGGGTTTGAAGGTGTGAGGAAGTGAGGGAACCCGACACCTTTATTTATAGGGGTGCTGACTGATGGAATCGCCGAGTAGGAGGACCTACTCCCCGAGTTGGGTCATGTGACAGCCTTCTGGTGGTGCCACGTCACTCCTTTCGCGTATCAGCCTTCAAACTTAGAAAAATCATAACTCTCACATACGAGATCCGTTTTTGACGTTCTTTAGACTGCTAATTCTCGACCGATCTCAAATTTAACAATAGGAGGAGTTTAGACTGCTAAATGACCGCGAATAATTCGTAACTCTTTCATACGGAATCCATTTTCATCTATCTTTTTACCTTTGAGTTACTATTAATGAGATTTTTGACTCTCATTTAGGTCGCGTAAGCCAAAAACCGCTCGAACTAAAAATCGAGTTTCGGGTCGTGCACTGCTAAGCCAAATCTTAGAAAATTCATAACTTCCTCATACGAAGTTAGATTTGGGCGTTCTTTTTATGGACACTATCAGTTTAACGTATTCTACGACTTTCATTTAGATCGCTAAAGCTAAATCTCGCTCTATCGTAAATTCACTATTTACGCTTCCCGGTATCGTGCTGGTTCTGTCGCGAAACTTCGACGGGTCATAACTTCTTCGTTATAACTCGGATTTCGACGCTCTTTATATGTATGGAAACCTTGTGACATATTCTACGACTTGGTTAATATTATTTATTCTAAATAATCTTTTGTCGAAAGTCATTTTCGACCCCTATCATCTCTAAATTGACTAGCTCGGATCTACAGGCGTTGCAATAAGGGCCATTCGCATAATTTACTATAATTTCTTTTAATTTTACTTGTGTATCTGTAAATGAATATGTATGACTATGTTTGTAAGATTCAAAAAACAACGATAAATTTTTTCATTTTTAACTTAAAAGAAACCATTGTTTTCAACCAAAACCATATCAAATCAAGTATCAAATACAAATATTTCCAAAATCAATGTATCATAAAATCTCCCAAAACATATCATCAAAGGATGTGTACGATCACACGCTTATCTTGCCCAGGTGTCTTATTTTATGCTTTAATATTGAGTTTTTGGAGAGAGACTCGGCGAGTAGGCGCTCAGACTCACCGAGTAGGAGCGTGGATGGTCAAACTGATTTAATGGGGGACTCGGCGAGTCATTCGTGGACTTGGCGAGTCCATGCTGTTTAATGAAACCCTAATCCCCAGGGTTTGAGACCTATTTAAAGGGGATTATAGCCATCATTTACGGCTACCAGACCCTTGAGAGAAACCCTTATTGTGCTTGAACGTTTGTGAGAGAGAAGAAGCCATTATTGGACCTTTATGGGTTTGTTTTGCAAGAAGAAGTTTATTCCAGCTTGGAGGAGGCCAAGGAGGTTACATATTGATGGATTTCAAGCAGAGGACATCATCTTTGAGGTAGCACATCGACCCTCTTTCTGTTTTGTTAAAGCATCCATGGATCTAGGGTTTCCTATGCCCTTTATTGGATTGATTTGTTGAGAATAAGGTCCCTTATCATGTTTAACTTAAGATCTGGACCCATAGTGGTCCAGAGAAGGTTACCCATCTTGCTGTATGTTGGGTTATGGAAGAAATGAACTTAGAGTGTTGTATTTGGGTCTAAATCATCAAGTAGTGTCATTTGGACGTTGCATGTGTATCAAGTTCGAACCTTTACATGTTTATTGAGCTTGGGGAGGTTAGATCTATAGATTAGAGGAGCAGATCTGACCTCAGAAGGTCATTTGAGTTTGAGCATGGCTTGAACTCGCCGAGTCCAAGAACAAACTCGGCGAGTAGGATGGGTTTTCCCCTATAAATCACACAGATGGTAACTCACTGAGTTGGGGAAGTAACTTAGTGAGTCATTTGGGATTTTGAGGACGGGAGTTCATGACTGAACTCGCTGAGTCACAATAGTGCACTATGCGAGTCTGGTCAAGGGGTTGACCGATGACTTTTGGTTGACTTTTAGGGTTTGGTCCACTTTAGAGTATTTGAGCCTTAAGAGGGGTAAAATGGTCTTTTACCCTCTTGAGGGTGCTAAGAGAGGGAATGGTCTAGCCTTGGGAAATGTGTTGATGCCGAGTGTTTATTTTCGTATGATTAGGCGGAGGCTAAATCCTATTTCACGGAGTCCGAGATTTCCGAGTTACCGAGTTACACGAGGTGAGTCTTCTCACTATACATTACCTAGAGTGGTATTATGAGTTGACCGGATGGTCTTATGTGCTATGTATGAGATTGTGTGCCATGTATGAGATTATGTGCTATGTGATGTATGTATGATATATAATTGTATAGACCGGATCGGAGGGTCCAACGAGACAGACCGGGCCGGAGGGCCCAACGAGCTATGACCGGACCAGAGGGTCCAACGAGCTACAGGACCGGAGGGTCCCACTGAGACACATTGACCAGAGGGTCGTATAGTAGCCTCGAGTGGCGTATGTGTTGTATGTGATATTTTGGGGGACTCACTAAGCATTTATGCTTACAGTTGTTGTGTATGTGTTTCAGGTACTAGCGAGGACCGTGGAAAGGCATTGACGTGACCCGTACACACAGAGAAGGGATTTGATTTTGTGATCTTGGGATATGTTACAATTTGATAACTATTGTTGAATACTTTTGAGAATATTTTATATAAATTTGGTTGTTGAAAAATGAAAATTTTGTTTTGAAAATCTCGTCGTTACACCACAACATGAGTCTGGCTTGACTTCAGGCCCATAACTCATGTTTGGCTTAGTCCCAAGCCCATAACATAAGTATGGCTTGCTCCCAGGTTTGTTGGCTTCCGCACGAAGTAGTAACGCCTCAACCCAACCATACTATACCGACATATATATATATATATATATATATATATATATATATATATATATATATATAAGTGTAACATATAATATTATCATATAATCATATACCCACTCAACAGACTAACAGGTAGATCTACAGATCAATACCGTATAACAACATACTATATACCAGACTCAGTGTAACAGATGAATACATCATAGCAACATCCTCTAAACTAGGATACATAATCCAGTGGACTGACATTGGTGCATTCGACCTTTAAGTAAAATGAAGAAAACTCACCTCTCGGTCTGAAAAGACTATTGAATAGGACACAACTTCGAATATCAGCTCTACCGGTCACCTATTCATTGGAACATGACTAACTTAACTTATAATCAAAATACCCAAAATACCCTATGTCAAACTTGATAAAAAACAAGTCAAAGTCAAAAAGTTCACCGAGTCAACTCAGTTGAGTACGCCCAGTGTACTCAGCTGGTACGCATGACATACTAATATATTGACCAGAAAAGCGGGTTGTTGACCTGGTACATCCAGCATATGCACTTGTCAGCTTTTCTTTTATTAAAAGCTTAATCCTCAAGCTTCGTCTTCGCCATTTCTTATTTGAACGGTGGTCGCCACGACACCACCTCTTCTCCGGTCTTCAACCGATGCAAGAAAATCCTTGGGTTACCTTCGTCTTCGCTATTGTCGGCATAAGGATCATCAACGGCTGGAGGGGGAGCAGGTGGTATAAGGGTGACGGCTGGAGATGGTTTTCGTTAGGGTTACAGTTTGGACCGGGGGTGACGGGTTTATATACCCCGATCGCCATAACTTGTTTCCATAATAACCAAAATGGTCCCTCCTTCCCCCATGTCTTTCAAATTTAATCCAATATTTACCATTTAAACCTTGCCTCCTGAAATCCTTTACGAATTAAGTCCGGTCTTTACCAAGCAGCCCCTGCCTCTATAAATCCTTTTCAATTTAGGTCCATAATTGATTTTTTAGCCTCTGCTTCCATAAATCCTTTCATATTAGGTCCAAATGATACCAAACACCCCTAGTCTTCTAAAATCTTTACAAAATAAATCCCGAAACTTACACTTTTAACCCAACTTCTAAAACTATGACAACTAGCTCTTCGAGACTAACACTTTGCTATGTAATTATTGATTTTAGGGCTACTATTTATTTATTTATTTATTTAATAAACGGGTTGTTACAGTTCTCTTTAAATCCCAAAAAGATGATAGAGGAGCGGATGACATCGGAATCTATGAAGGTTGAATTGAAGTCCAAGTTGTAATATCAAGATCATTTAATCTTTTCTATTTTAAAGAATAATTTCGTTTGATTTGTGTATAATATAGCCTGTAATGTTGCTATATGATATGTCTTAACTTGCAATAAACGTTATAAGATAATGCAATATCATCGTTGCATTTTAGTACAAATGGAGTTCTTTAGTTATGCCTCTTGAATTCAAAACATAGATAACAATAAACATTGTTGTCAATGTTTTTTTTTTCAGAAAAAAACATGAGACAACAATTTTTTTAAACAAACATTATTTTATATAAAATATGTTTTGGAGTTGTGCATAACGGATCACGGTTATTAACAAAACAAAATACATTATATTACATTCTAAAATGAGATGAGTTCTTTCACATTTTGATACGAAATGTCGTTATGGAAGACTTTAGTTGTCAAAATAATCAATGCATGTTCGAATAAACTTCGGGAATAGTGCAATTGTTGGGTTGCTTAGTGGTTTTATTATTAAATAACTAGTTTATTTTTATTGATTAATGTCTATCTTTTTATAAACACCACGTTTTAGATTTAAAAAAAAAAAAAAACATTTTGAGTAGCAAAAGAGTCGAAATATATGTACTTAAAAGTCAAAGGCTTTAATTTACTAGATCCAAATCAAAGCTTGATCTAGACACAGAGAAAAACATGGTGCTGAAAGTATATGCCGATCGACTCTCCCAACCATCTCGTTCTGTTCTCCTCTTCTGCAAGTAAATTACATTTTTCATTTGATTTTCAATCGCGTTTTCTTTCATCATCTGATTATAGTTTTCGGACTGGATTAGTAATACTAAATATTTTGTTCTTCGTCTTCGATCGAGGAGTCCAGTACACCTATTGAAGCTATTAGTTAATTGCTCAACTTAATTTATTGTTTATATTCGGTGTTTCCTTTCTTTAGTTCCGGTTAGGTTTTCTTTATCACTGCGCAAGTGATATTCCAACTGATGCTTGTCAAAAATCGTGGCTTGTTTTGTTTGGATGTTATTTGAAGGATAATTGGGATCGACTTTGAGGAAATCCAAGTAGAGGTCTTGAAAAATCAGCGATTCTCCCCTGAATATAAGGGTTTGTTTGCTACCATCTGCATTGATTTGTGCTAATAAGTTCATATGAAAACTACAAAACATTCATACAAACTTTACATAGGTCATGTTTTATGTTTTATGCAGCAATAAATCCCATGTCTCAAGTTCCAGCCATAGTTGATGGACACTTGAAGCTGTTTGAGAGGTTCTTCATTTCCGCTTCTTAAGTTTATGTTATACTTATACATAATAAACTCTCGGTTTTCATAACGTGAATTTGTTGTGGTGTATAGTCACGCCATTCTAATCTACTTATCATGTTCATTTCCCGGTGTTGCTAATAATTGGTAAGTCTGGGTTTCTTCTCCTTCAATTCCTCTGCATACAAATCCCTAACTTGAATAAACTCCATTGATGTATAGGTATCCTAGTGATGTATCCAAAAGAGCTAAGATCCACTCTGTTTTAGATTGGCATCATTCCAATTTACATCGTGGTTCAGTTGGACTTATTTTGAACACTATCATGGCACCCAAAGGGTTCCCTTCAAGCCCTCAAGCAGCTAAAGAAGCTGAGAAGATACTCATGAAATCTTTGAATAAATTAGAAACATTTTGGTTAAAAGATGGAAGCTTTTTGGTTGGAAGCTCCAAACCATCGATTGCAGATATCAGTTTAGTATGTGATATCATGCAACTTCAGGTAAGGTGATCATATAAAATCAATCGATCAATCGTATTCATGTTATGTGCTTTTTTGGGTAAATCTTGATCAAAATTAAAAAATTTTGATTTTCAGCTTTTGAGTGATAAGGATTTTGATCGGATATTAAGCCCTTACAAGAAAGTTCTTCAGTGGATCCAAGATACAATATCTGCAACTGCACCTCATTTTCATGAAGTTCATGGGCTTCTCTTTAAAGCCCAGAAAAGAATTCGAGGGCAGATGCTAACACAATCCGAGATTTTTTGTGCATTTAGTAAAATTTGACACATTTGCTGCTAAGTGCTAACACTACTCTACTCGTAAAGCGAGACTTGAAATCTAACCCTATGGCTGGAGGGCACATTTTCCACGTTTAAGAATTCAGATCTCAAAGGAAGAAAAATTGTTAACTTATCTGACAAAAAAAAAAAAAAATGCTCCGCATAAACTCTTATGAAAAATGTTATTACGAATGAATCACATCCCTGTAGAGAAATTTTGTCTGGCTTTTTAGATATAAGAAAACCAAATCGGACACAAAACAATCACTTTTTTTAAACCATAAAAACTTGTTCAAAACAGTTTGGTTTTGTGGTTTATTGTATTATTTGTTGATATGGTTGAGGAAAGAAATTGTAGGAACTATAAAGTTAATTTTACAAAATTAAAGAAGTTTCACAAACACCCCTTGTACAACATACATCACCATTTTATGGTACTTTCCATAAAATAACCTTTCATAATACATTTACATTTATATTAAAGTAATTACACGAATAATCCCATGGTTTAGGATAATTTGTACGTTTGGTCCGTAACTTATTATTATTATTATTATTTTTTTGTAATTCGGAAGATCCCTAAAAAGACTATTCTACCATTGATTTTTTGATTTATTTAAATAAGATAGGGTAGGTAAGATAAGGTAAGGTGAGATGGAAGTGGGGTTGGAGTTGTGTTTATTTAAATAAATTAAAAAATCAAGGATAAAATAGTCTTTTAGGTAAAACAGGGACCAAGCGCAACAAAAACAAACAGTAAAGACATTTCGAGTTAAAAAAATAAGTTAGGGACCAAAAATAGAAATTACCCCAACCATAGGGACCATTCATGTAATTTACTATTTATATTATTTTGAAAACTCCTTTCCAATAATAAATTATAATAAAACAATATTAAAATTGACACTTTAATTTTGAAAAAGGAAATTTATAAACCTAACCAAAAATGCTAATTATTTTGTAAAAAATAGCCAAATATTAGTGTTGAGCTTTATAGATTGCGTCTTTTGAGCTCGTCTAATTATGCTGTTTTGTATTCCGGTTTGGGCCTGTCCAACCGTGAGTCTTTTATGCTTTGTATATAAGCTAATGCTTGCATGCATATTAGGTTAAGGTTTTAGAGATCTGTGTATAACGATTTTTCCAGACGACAAAAGGTTTCTTTGATCGTTTTTGTAACCTTCCAATCCTCTACAGTTGATGTTCTTAATCGAGCTCTTTTGAGGATTTTGTTTCAATCATTCGACACGTTTGATTCAATCTTGTTCTGTTCTTTTATTGTGTTCATATCGTCATTATTTACATACTTGTTCAAGATCTAATCGATCTTCATAGATTAAAAGAAAGTTTAATCTCATCAATTGGTATCAGAGCAGGAGGCTGTGTAATTGATACACATCTTTTCTGTGAAAAAGATTTCCATTAGGGTTTTTCCGCAATCATTAATATTTATTGAGCCGTCATCTCTTTATTGACGTATCTCGATATTTATTACTTTGCCCTAATCTGCTTTATTACAAGTCTGATCTTTGAACAGGTTTTTTCGATCATAATGGACGCGACACAATCAAACGTTATTAATATTTCCAACAGCATTGGTTCGACGACAAAGATTCCGATCTTATATACCCACGATTATGAAGTATGGGCACATCATTTCGAAGACTATGTTATTGGATCGGAGGAAAATGGGTATTTGATTTGGGAAGCCATCACCAACGGACCGTTTTCTCATTCTGCAACGTCCAGAATCATCAAGACTCAAAAAGAGTACAACGATCTGCTCAAGGACGTGAAAGATATTGCACAAGATGAAAAGGATAAGTTCCAATGCAATATCAAGGCATTAAGATTAATCCGGTTCGCCCTTCAGTCCGATACATTCAGATTGGTTAGTTCATGCACAACGGCAAAGGATGTTTGGGATAGACTTCGCGAACTGTATTCTACAGACGAAGATCTTGAACATTCTATTCAAACTCTACTTCTATCTGAGTTTGGAGAATTCAGACAAGGGGCTGAAGAATCTGTGACCCAGACGTTCGATCGCTTCAATCATCTTCTCAGCAAGATGATCAAACACGATATTGAAAGGAAGCTCATCGAACAGAAGGTTACATTCCTGAATGGTCTGAGGTCTGAATGGAGAGCAGTTGTTTCCACGGTTAAAGCCCATGAGCAATTTAAATCATACTCTCTGGCGAAACTGGTGGGAATTCTCAAGTCTCAAGAGAAGATCGTGGTGCAAGAAAAGAACGTCGTTTCCGGTCTTGGTTCGTTGGCCCTCTTATCAAAAAGTAAAGCTGTTATGGAGGATGAAGACCTCAGCCTGGAAGAATATGATCTCACATCAGAAGATTATGCCTTGATGGTGTCCAATCCCAAAAGGTTCATAAAGAAGAGATTCCCCAGCAACAAAAACCGAAACTGGCAGGGGAGTTACAGCTCTGAAAAGGCGGTTAATGAACCGAAAGCTGAGGAGCACAAGAAGGAACCGAAGGTGATGGCGACTCTGGAGTGAGCTGTTTCTATTGTGGTGGGAAAAATCATTATGCTAAGGACTGTGTTCTTAAGAAAATGGCTGAAAAGGATGATGGGAATGATGAGGAAGCCGTGTTGCAGAAAAGATTGGATGAGTTGAGAAAGAAGAAGTCTGCTGCTAACCCGCCTATTAATGCTCTTATTGTGCAGGGTTCTGTTCTAGGTGATGAGTTCGGTAGCACGGAAGTTTGGTCTACCGACTCAGAAGACGAGGAAGTGAGGCAGCCTACTCATGGAAAGGCCTACTTGTCTAAGGAAGAAAGCAGTGGTGGAAAATGCCTCATGGTTTCTGACGTATCTCAAATGAGGGGATACAACACCGATGGAGGCATTGATGGACAGAAAGCAAAGGAGGACATGTGCTTTACAGCCAAACCGCTCAGCCAGCAGTTCAATGAGCTCGATGAACTGATAAAGAAGGTACAATCTGTTTTTATTTCATGCAAAGTACCATCATCTTCTTATGAGAAAGAACTAAAAACCGTCAATACAAGAATATCTCATCTAGATAGTAGCTTAACTCAAACTCGGGTCACAAATTCTAACCTAACTGATCAATTGAGCAGGGCGACGTCGAAGAGTGAGGAGCGGAGAATGTGGATAGAGTTAAAGGAGTCAGAATTAGTCAAAGTTAAAGATGAAAACATTTATTTGCAAAGAGACAATTTGAAATTGTTAAAACAACGAAATGTTTTTTGTTTAATTGCTAAACGTTTGTACTCTAATATTACTCAGCTTCACTTGGATTGTGAAATAGGCCAAAGGATTCACCGCATGATTTTGCCCTTCCTAGAGTTTAAGGAAGATGAAATCGATGCTGAAGCTTATAATTGTGAAAGTGTGATATCGTCTGATGATATGAATCCTACCTACATGTATGGACTGGACAAAATTGAGTCCTTCATTAAATCCAAAGACCACAAGCTCATGCTTAAAAATCTTTTGGATGAAAATGACAGACTTAAACTGAGAACCGAAACCATGCAAAAATTTGACTCTTTAAACGTCAACGTAAGCTCAGAAAACAAAATTGACGTTGAAAATGCATCTGAGCTTAACGAGGACGATATCGTGAGTGAAATTTCTGTAGAGGACACGGTTGACTGCTCAGAATTTATTAAAACCGAGCCAGAAAATCACAAGAATCTAATTTCTGAAAATTCAGTGGAGTTCGCTCGGTTGTCCCATCAAAAGTCCCCAAAATTAGTTGAGAAAGCAGTTGTGTATCAAAAGGTAAGGACCACTCCAAATCAAGTTTACAAGGTGACAGGAGTAACCGAACATCAAACAGCTGAACTTGTAGCCATTGTAAACGAAGACAATGCTGATGGCTGTGATGAGTACTTCTGGGAAGCTCCAATTGATAATGCAGACGAAACCATTGGTTTATCTGAAAGAACTTCCTGGAAGAGCAAAGGAAGATACATACCTGAGCCCTTGAATAAACCGAACAACTTCGATGAGCCGAGCACCAGTGGTACAAAAAATATTCCTCAGAAGAATGATCACTCGGCAAAAGCAGACATTCTCTCGGCTCCTTCGGCTCAAAGTAAAACTCCTGCAGTTCAAAAGGAACCGGCCAAGGAGTCACCAAAAACGAAAGCGAATGTTCATCATCAACCTTTTCAGATGAGGAATAGGAAGATAGAAAGGAACAATAGATACAGGAAGAACCTTTCTGAAAGGAAACAATTCTGGCGTTCCCAGAATGCATATTTCTCTCATCAAGACAAAAATCTAAAGTATGAAAACATTCCTGTAGAAAAGCTTGAAAGTCACAAAAACCGAAAGCCAAGGTTCGGTTCACAAGAAGATATCAACCGAAGGCAGAAGTTCGGTTCTGAAAAGGACTTCAACCGAAACCAAAGGTTCGGTTCCAAAGACAGTTCCAACCGAAAGCAAAGGTTCGGTTCTGAAGTCAAAAGAGAACAAAACGCTAAGGTCATTCCCTCCAATAATCAAAAGCAAAAGGGTCACCTAGAGCCTCAAGCCCGGAACTTCTCTCAATCCAAACCCTCGTGTTCAAATTCTTCTCGTTCTTCTAATTCCTTTTCTTGGTCACATAATTCTTCTACTCCCACCGATTCGTCTCCATCTTTCCCTAAAGCTGATTTCTCTTGTTCTCGAAAATCTCATTCATCAGTTGAGCAAAAATGGAAGCAGAAGGTCAATAAATCCACACCAGAGTCCAAATCTAATTCGCCTAATCTTAATAAAATAAAGGTTTACACCATTAAAAGGAAAGATAAAACAACTCTTGTAAAAAGAATTTATCTTGTTGATGTCTCTCTTATTGTTCCCGTTCCCATGCAAAGCTCACGTGGACCCAAGAAATTTTGGGTTCCTAAATCTGTCTAATTTTTGCAGGTTATAAGTGACGAGCAGTTCGACGAAGAATGGTACATCGATAGTGGCTGCTCACGTCACATGACAGGGAGGAAAGAGGAGCTTAGGGAATACAGATCTCTTGCAAATGGTGGCAACGTCAAGTTTGGAAACAATTCATTCGGCACCATAAAGGGATACGGGATGATAACCAATGGGGACTTCTCTATAAGGAAGGTGGCTTATGTGGAAGGACTCCAACACAACCTCATTAGTGTATCTCAGCTTGTGGAGGTACAGGTCTCAAAGTCTCATTCGATGATGAAGGTTCTGAAATCATAGAGAAAAAGTCAAATAAAGTAATTCTCAAGTCAGAGCGAAAGGGTGAAATGTTTCCC